CCAAAACCCTATTAGAACAGGTCTTCTCTAGCCATCCCATCTATCTCTGAACGACTGAAGTACCATAGAGGCATTTTAAGAGAGAGAGAGAGAGATCAGTAAATGTTGGAATGGGGTGATGGAGATTACTTTCCTTGCCCGAACTTGTCTTTCTGTGCTGGGATGCCGGTCGGATGCTTTTTGTGAGCATGGCCCGTTTCAAAGGACTTGCGAGGACAAGCCGCTGCGGTCACCCCGGTTGGCCTTTCCCTGCACCATAACATCCTGTTGATGGGAAGGAAAGCTCTCCGAGACTCTGCTCTGCGAGGGCTTTGTTGTCGTTCCTTTGTAGCCCATGAAAGCATTTCTTTGAGCCACTTGGGTGACCTGGGATGACCAGAGGCTTCCTTCCTCTCTTGGTCCTCCTCCCCCTCCCTCCCTCCAGTGGCGGTTCGTTTTTCTCATCACATTCCTTATGACTTTGTGGTTTAAAAAGAATGGGTTGGTACAACCAGCCGATGGGAATGACTCTCCTGTCCATGATCCCCAGCCAGTATGGTTGAAGACAATTAAGGGACTGGAGCAGTGGTGGGATTCAAATTTTTGTTACTACCAGTTCTGTGGGCGTGGCTTGGTGGGTGTGGCATGGCTTGGTGGGCATGGCAGGGAAGGTTACTGCAAAATCCCCATTTCCCCACCCCACCCCACCCCACTAGCCTGCTTTCCAGCTCCATTCTCCTGTGCAGGGCAATCAAAGGAGACCCAGCCGGTCAGCTGGGACTCGGGAGGTGGGGTATAGATGGGGAACGGGGCCAGTCAGAGGTGGGATTGGCTGGTTGTCCGGACGACTCAAAATTTCTGCTACCGGTTCTCTAGGACCGATCCGAACCTGCTGAATCCCACCTCTGGACTGGAAGCTAAAACATACAAAGAACAGTTTCAAGAATTGGATCTTGTCTAATCTAATGAAAAGAAGGACTAGGAGGGACATGATAGCAGTCTTCCAATATTTGAGGGGCTACCCCAGGGAAGAAGGGGGTCAAAATATTTTCCAAAGCACCAGAAGGCAGCAGAAGAAACAAAGGATGGAAACTAATGAAGGAGAGAATTAAGGAGAAATGGGTACAATTAACCAGGGGAACTACTTGCCACCAGAAATTGTGGCTGCTTCATCACTGGAGGTTTTTAAGAAGAAACTGGACAGCCATTTGTCCAAAATGCTATAGGTTTTCCTGCCTGAAGCAGGGGGCTGGATTAGAAGACCTCAAAGGCCCCTTCCAACCCTATTATTTTGATTTATTCTGTTAATTTCAGTGCCTCTGGAAAGCACCTGTTCAAAGGAACTGCTTTCTAAAAAAAAAAAAAATAGATCTGGGCAAGACAGATGTTTGTAGGACTGTATGCATTACTCCCGCAGGTTCAAAAGAAAAAGGACAGATGTGATCTCAGTTTCCTTTTGGGGGGTGTCCCAGCAGAGATTACTGGCTGAGGTTTGGGGACATGAACTGTCCTAAATGCTAGTTTGGAAGAACAAAACCTCATGTAAAGGACAGAAGACAAGTGTATTTTGAAATTTGGAACTTCAAGATGAGTGGACTTCAGCTCCCAGAATTCCCCAGCCAGCATGCTTTGAGATGGGTGTATTCTAACTCCCAGAATTCTCACTCACCAGCATCTGATCCAACTAGATCAGAAGTTGTTGAGGTAATTCCCCGTTAGGAGAATGAGCGCATACAGGGAGATGTATTTGAGAGTAGCGTTTGAATAATACACATACAGTATACAGATACACTGTACAGTAAATGTAGGTTTTTACTTCCAGAAAGGTTAAAGCAAAGTTCAAAATAGGTAGTCCAAAGTCATTCACAAGTAAATCAGTCAGTTCTTCAATCCAGGGATAATCCAATAACAAATTCCAGTGTCAAAAGCAGTTCTTACATTAAATCCAGTAATATCAGTCAATTAGAAGAAATGGAGGAA